CACAACGATTAGATACGGTGATATGATAAAGCAAATTTCCAAAGAAGTATTTGGGGTAAAGATAGTATTTCATTAATATTTTTATAATATAGCTCCTGCACCAAGACTTCACACCAACAATCTAAAAACTGATGATCACAAAGCCTCAGCTGGATCTTGTCTCAACCTGTCCAGTCATATTTACTCTTGTAAGTTCAGGCATAAAACTGCAAGCAACACCTGTGCCTAGCAATGTGCTGAGAGCCTTCACCTCCCTCACTGGGGCTCAGCTTCTCCCTTCATGGGTGCCTCTTCCTTCATCCCTTCAGCACTAGATCTCACCCAAGGAAATTCACAGCTCCTTTAACAGAAACACTTCAAGCTAAATTCTTTCTAGAAAACTTCACAGAATGCAAGATACCTGGCAGGGGTCTGAGGGTACTTGGTACATAGTACAAATTCAAAGGAAAACTGGATTTTTTTGGAGGGGGAGGGCTCTTTAATGTTGTCACTATTGCTGCAGTTACAGCTTAAACATTAACAAACAACTGTAACTGAATGTATTGGTGGATCCTCCATGTCAGGCTTTTAAAAACACATGTACATAGACGTTATCTCTTAGAATGATCTCCTCCTCCTCCTCCTCCTCCTCCTCCTCCTCCTCCTCCTCCTCCTCTTCCTCTTCCTCCCTCTTCTCCTCATCTAGCATCTCTAGTCAAAAAGTTATAGATTTGTACTGAGAGCCCCAAGCTCATCCCAGACTCCCCAGTGGATGGAGTGTTAGTCCAGAGCTTAGGAGTGGACAGTGGAGAGCTGAGCTTTCTTGTACCTGAAAATGTGAAGATGCTGAGGGTCTCTAGGTGCTGCTCTTCCTTTCCCTCTTGGCCTCTGCCAAGTGCTCTGATCTTTCTGGACTAGGTTTTGATTCTAGGAGCAGCAATAATGTGTTGGATCATATATCCTAAACCTACCACGCCTGTGTAATCAGAGACACATTATTGACAGGCTGCATCGCTCTAGAATGGTGACATCAACTGAAACATGACAGGGTTGTGCTACTGCTGGGATCATGTTTCTCTCTCATCCCAGGCAGAACTCCACTTAGCACAACAGAGAATGCTGTTGGATGTCACGTGTTCTTGGAACACACATGCCAGGAACATTCTCTAAGATGGGCCACAGCTGTCCACTCTGTGACTTCATTACTCTGCACTTCTGGAGCTTGCACCTTACGCCTGAGGAATTCTGCCATCCAGGTTCACTGTAGTGATTTGGATGAAATGGTCCCATGGGGTCATGTACTTGAACACTTGGTCCCTAGTTTACAGTGCTTCTTAGAAAGGTTATGGAACCTTGAAGAGATAGAACCTTGGCAAGTATGTCACTGGGGGCTGTATCTACTTCCTGTTCCCTCTCTCTCGGTCAGTCTGTCTGTCTGTCTCTGTCTCACTGTCTCTCCCTCTCCATATACATATATAATGATATACATGATATAATAAATATTATTATGAAGCAAATTTTCAAAAAAATATTTTGGGAAAAATATTTCATTAAAGTCTCTATAAAAATAACTCCTGCCCCAAGACTTCACACCAACAATCTAAAAACTGATAACCTCAAAGCCTCAATTGGATCCTGTCTCAGCCTGACCATCCATATTTACTCTTCTAAGCTCAGCCACATAATCACAACACCTGTGCTCGCCTCTCCTCTCTCTCTCTCTCTCTCTCTCTCTCTGTCTCCCTCCCTCCCTCCCTCCCCCCACCACGTGCAGAAAGACAATCTGCTTCCAGTCTGCCAGGCTGGCACCGTGCTCCTGCCTCCATGTCTTCCCCCACTGTGATCAAGTCTATCCCTCTAGAACTACAAACTGAAAAAACTAACCGGGACACTCACCGTGCATATGCACCTGATGCCCCAAACCATGAAGTATTCTAAGTTCCCTCCCTTCCTCCACCAGGCATCCTATAAAATAATTCACTCTACCTTAACTTTACATGTCTCCACCTTACTCTTCACAATTCTTTTGCTTTCCTGCAACCTGCCAAGGTGCGCTGTTACCTCTTCCTGGACCCCTCCCTTCCTCCCTCTCATAACCTGTCCTTCATCCTTGGGAGTCCCAGATCTGGAAGTCAGCCACATCCTTCACACCTGGGTACCCTCCCCCTTACCATCCCATGTCAGTCACCTACAGCACACAGAATTTCTGCTCATCGTGTCCTTACTGTGTGTGGGTACTTGTGGACACTTACTGATTTCTTCCTGCCCTTTCATTACCTTCCTTAGCTGTATGTATGCCCTCACCATCATCCTGTTCTTCACACAAGACATAGCCGATGCCACCTCATAACACTGAATACTTCCTTTTGCTTCTAGATATCAGCAAGCCTGTTTTGTCTCTAAAGCTCAGTGCACGGTTCGCTCTTCACTGAAATCTTAAATCATTACACACTCAACCATATGTATGTGTGCTTTCCTTAGATAAACAAGGACTGTCTGAAATCTGTACAGTCACATAGAGTCATCTCTCGGTAGTCACTTCATTTAAAGCCATCATTAACGCAGATTAACAAATGCTGAGCTGTCACTCCTATGGGAATTGCCAGGTGGGCTTCCTGAAAACCTCTGAGGATATCACACTTGTCATCAACCAATCGATATATAATCTTGTTTATGTGTGTTTCTGCTTGATAGAACCTTTTTAATGTATCCTGCAGATAATTTAAGGTTCATTCAAGATTACCAGCACCATAATTTGTACCTAAAGGAAGTCTGTCTAATATATACATTCTCTCCATAAGTTTTGTTACAGAGACTTCCTATTCTTAAAAAGGTAAGCTTTCCTTAAGTACTATAATGGAAAGCAATCATATTAAAGAAAAAAAATTATATATAATATACACTATTATATCTAATATTTTCTGTCACACGTCTATATATTTTATATAATATATAAAACTATACCTATCACATGTGTGTTTCTATATAAATTATATATATTGTACAGAAGTACATATAGAAAAGCATAACAGAAAATGAACATGAAAATGGCATTTGTTTCTAATATAATAGCTCAAACCAGAAGGCAGAGCGTTCCCATGTTCTGCCTCACCTGGGAGCAAAGGTGTTTATTAAACAGCTCAAATATTGTGCTTCTGGGTACACATCTAGGGATGACTGCAAGTGTCAACATCAGTATTATTAATAAACATTAAGTAACAAATCTTCAAGTAACAAAATGACATTTGCTTCTTGTATCTCTACAAACTTTGAAACTGAGCAGCAAGAAAGGGGATCCTGTCTGGTCTTTGCTGTTGCAGCTTTAGCTTTAGGGTGACATTTGGCAGATAGCAGGAATCAGGTAGACAGACTGAGTTGGTGCTATATCCCTCTGGGAAGAAAAATCTTTCTCCAGCTCCAAGCCATGCTCATTCTTGTCCACATCTCAGGCTCAGTCTAACTAACCTAGTCTCTCGATCACAGTTGTTTCCCCTCTATGTGTCCTAAGCACTGTGAAAACACCCATTATCATAATACTTTTCTAACTATATTTTAGTATTAGTTTTTATTGGTCTTATTCACTGGACTGTGTGTCCTTATGGGCAAGATCTGGTTCATAATTATCTTTGTCCACAAGCATGTAAGGTTGTAGTAATATATGTTAAAAAAATAGCAAGTGTTTGTTTGTTTAGAATTATTTAGGGGCTCCAGAGAAAGCCAAGCATGTTAGAGAACTTGCTCTTCTTGCAGAGGCCATGATTTCTTTTTCCTAACACGTGGCAATTTACAGTCACCTATAACTCAGGTATAAGACATCCAGACCCTCATCTGGCTTCTATGGATACCAGGTATGTATGTAGTGCACATAATGCATCAAGACAAAGCATTCATACACATAAATAAATATTAAAATAAATATTTAAACCAGCTCTAATGCCATAGGCCTCTCAGAAACTTGGGAACTGAAACAGGAGGATTACAAGTTCAAGATCAGCTTTTACCTTCTATATGGGAGGTCCTGAATTCAATTCCCAGAAAGAAAAATAAAAAGGAAAATGGAGTTCACAATTTTCTTTCCCTGATCCAAGTTTCCTATTGTGGTATTTATCTATAGTATCAGAATACCATCAGCCTCTAGAGATATGTCATCTCTTCCTTTACTTATTAAAGAAAAACATAATTTGTGCTTATCTCATTAAATCACTTCTTTCTGGGGACCCAACATCATGGCAGTCTCTAGAGCTTGTAGCTTATGCTTCCAAATAAACATTATTCCCTGAAGAGACTGAAGGGACGTTAGCTGGAAGACAGTTGGATAGATGCAACAAAAACCTCTAGAAAATGTGAAGCCAACAATGGAAAACACTCAATTTTTAAATTTTAGATTTTTAGATTTCTGAAATAGAACATTGAAAATGTAGAATAAATGTGTGCTTCATCCAAATGGTATTATGCCAATTGCATAAAATAGCAACCCAACTATTTTAGCTATATGATTAAGCCAATTCCATCCTAGATACAGTTTATATTTCATATCCTGACTCAAACCCACAAACTAGTAGAGTCACACTTCTTGGTGCTCCCTCTGTACAAGAAAAATATCATATTTTTTGATATCATATTACTTGCCTCATTTCTTCCTCCTTCCATTCTTCAACACCAGACCATTCCCAACAGCTCATGATGCTAAGTTCCTGGTATTTTTGTCCCATAGTTAGCCTACACTTCTTCATTTCATGTATTACTTTCTGATCTCAACAGTGAAACCAGATCTATGAAGGCTTCAGCAGTATTCATGCATATGTTATCTGCTTTACCGGGCATGCAAGTACTGACTATTGTCTCTATAATAGCACCCACGAAAGAGTCTGGAAATCAGGAGGTATTCATTAAGCATAAGCACGAATATGGAGCTGGTTGATAAAATCATAAAATCCCTATTAACTGATATCAAAACATGAGAAGATGTCAGTCAACCCTAGGAAGATACCAACCCTCTCTGAAGATACAAGAGAACTTACTATTGTTTTCTGCAAAAATCCTTATGACAGGCATCAACTCAAAAAGCACTTTGGGTTTAGATTCAATGAGTTTCGCGTTCCTTTTGTCCCAGCTAGCACCCTCAAGATACAAGCCGTACACATAGACTCCTTCTGTGGCAGGAGCAGAAATGTCATCCTTCATCCATTTTGTAACTTCATTGCAAAGAACCATATTGTCCAAAGCCCATCCTTTGTTGGCCCTAGTGATTTCCTATTAAATTCAGAAGAAAAAAAAACAGAGAGAACCATTAGAATAATTTCTTAAAAGGAAAAACAAAATGATAATCAATTTATTCCAAATTATCCTCATTCAAAGGGACTAAGGCAATATTTGAAGAATTTAAAAGATTCTCTCATTTAAAAAAATGCTCATGTCCTAATTTAGCCATTTGTACTTTAAAGGGGGAACTATAAAATTATACCAACATAGAAATAAAAATACATACTTGAAATTCAAGCTAGCAACCTGGGAATAAGTAGTTATATTTATAATCACAACAAGCTAACTGCTAGTACCAAAGAGAGGTAGTCATTCTCTCTCTTATTATATTCTTTAAAGCTATCAAGAAAGAAGAGTGGTTGTACAGGGAAATCATAATGACACAATGAGCCCAAATCAGAACCATTACCTGTCGCATAGCAGTTAAAAATCCCTGGGGGTTAAAAAAGCCTGTCATCCAAAAGCAATGGGGTCGGCCATTGAAAACCCAGGAGGTGAACTGGCAATTTCTTTCTAGCAGCTCTGTAAACCAGAAGCCCAGGGTACTTGAAACCCATGATGCCTGAAACACATACATGAAAACAATACTTCAGTGTATCAAACAATTTAGATTCAATTCAGCCATGTAAACTGCTTGCTGTGAGAAACAAAAAGGCCATGACTTCATTATTACAATGCGACTGTCCTTTCAGCATTGAATTTCCATTGAGCTCTGACCTATAAACGTTTCGGATTATTCTCTCTCCTTCACATTAATGATGTGAAGATAAATGATATGAATTCACATAGCCAAGAAAGATGACACCACAGCCACCTAACACCTGTGGGTATATCCACCACTAATTCTGCTATAAAGGAATCAAAACCATTTATGGAATAAAATTTAACAGGCTTCCGTCATGATCAGGCTACAATTTCAATAGGTACTATATAAGGCAAGATTTCTATTTACATAAATAAACTCATGCCATCATCAAGATAGGCCAATACTTTAAAATGCATTCTATGTGCAACTCATTAGAGAAGCCATTCTCTGCTTATTTTAACGAGGTAAACAACAGGTGTTCTCTTGAGTGTGCGTTCCATTATGGTACAGAAAGGGAAACCTAGCTTCCTTTACCACCCACAATGTATTTATACCTGCCTCTTCTAACTTTTTCCCCAAATTCATTTGAGCAATTTCCTTTATGACAACAGGCATGAATGACATTAATGCAGCAGGAGAAGCACGGTGGGGAAGAATCTTCAAATCATAGGTTATAACATTTTACTGTAATTACAACATTTTCAGTAGGAATAAATGTCGTAATCAAGTTGGGTAGGTGTCCCACTTGAATTTCAAATATCATTACAATTAATTTGCCTATATTTCAAGAGTTTCTGCAATTCCACAGACTGATAGCAACATTAATAGAAGAAAAACTTTATAAAATGATCATAATTTAGGAATTAGGTAGCTCATTCTGTCCTACCTTTATAGGTGTGTTAGGTAAAAATGTGCTAAAATCACATTTGGTCTTGAAGTAAAAGGAATCTTACATGAGAGGCTGGTGCCTACAAAAACTTATTCTGCTCCAGAGCCTCTCAGGGACTGGCAGGGCTAGGAGAAATAGCTTAGAGGGAACAAATCTGCATGGCCAATGACTTGAAAGAGTCTCCATCTTTTGGCAGTGAGTGAGAATGGAAAGTTCAAAAGGAAAATGCTCTGGCCTTTGCATTGAATTTGTGAACGGTGAGAAAGAAGGAAAGGGATCTGGTCAATGTTGATACAGTGATCCTAGGTCATGTGACTCACGAAATGCATAGTGACATCATCAAATAAGGTGGTAAAGACATAATAAGAAGTCCGAGTTACCAAACACTGGGCAAGATCTGGGCAAGATATGTGAGGCTCCACCCTGATAAGTCTTATGAGTGTGTGTGTTGCACTCATGTGGCTACAGAGTTGCTCCTATATCCAAGTATACACTTTCAGAAACCAGAGGAGGACACTAGAGTGCCTTGGTTTATTACTCTCTGCTCTCCACCTTATTGCCTAGACTGGCTCCCTCACTGAACTGAACACCAGCCATCTCTCAGGATCTGCCCATGTACATTGCCCAGTGTTGAGGTTACAGGCATGTGAAGCCATGTATGACTTTTAACATGAGTACTGGGGCTTTGAACTCAGATCCTCATGTTTGTTTACCAAGCATTGTCACTTATTAATGCAGCACTCTTGTTGTAAACAAATCCTTCCCAAGGTACTACCAGCGCTAATGCTGTCAAGATACCTTTCTGTTTTGTTAAAGAAATGCAAGCCATGCAAAAATTCCTCCAAATTTAATCACTATCTGCTTCTTTCCTCTGCATTCACAGTATGGTCCAATCCTCAACAATCTTGCTCTCTCAATACACTTCATCTGTAGCATCTCGTGCCATTAACAGAAAGATGACTCTGGATACTCCACCTCTTCCCTAAGCATTGCCTCCATGCCCAATATACACTGATGTCAACCTCCTAAAGGTCATACTGCTGCTTTTACAGCCTTCTGTCTTCTTTGCACACCACATCTCTCAGGGCTGTGGCAGATGCCCTTGTATGCTTTCACTTGGAAGCATTTTCTTTCTTGGAGTCTTGTGCCTACTTATACCACCTTACCCTTTGTGGTTTCTGTCACTTTTAGTTATCCCCTGGTAGTCATGCTGGCTTACACTTACACTCAGTAACACAAATGTTCACAATGGCAATGGTGGTGATGGTATTTACAGTGGTGGAAGTAGAGGCATGACAGATGATTGTTGTGAAAGTGGCCACACTTGAGGAAGAGCTGGTGCTGGTGTGAGTGCTGGTAGTGAAGGCCACAGTAGGAATAGTAGAAGAAGATGTGTAGATGGAAGCATGTGTCATGGTTTGATAGTGGTGGTGGAAAAACTAGCAGTTGTTAGTGATGGTCCAGTCTTGCTAATAAAAACCACAAGCACTTACATGACACTGGCCACATACCACATGATTTACAAGCACTGTACATGCGTCCACTCATTTAACCCTCACAAAACTGCTAGGAATGCCACAAAGTCATTTCCATGTTACACGTATGGAAAGGTAAGGAAACTGTGACACAAGGAGCCAACAAACTTATGCCAGGCTAGATATGATCTAAGTACAAATATTAGCCCAGAATCCACATTCACAGGTACATATATTTTTAGTTATTTGAGGTAACATCAGCATCTGTAAGAATAATTTAGCATAAAACTTGTTCAACTAGTGATTGTCTCAGCCTGAAGCAGCCTCCAAAACATATCTCTTTATTCTACTACTCCCACAATCATGCTTCATACAGTTCATCATCAAGTACCGGCTTGTTGTGAGAAGCGTGCTTTCTACGCTCATGAAATATCTTTATTGCCGGAGAGTTCTGTTTAAATAACTCTCCTGATACTCTACATCCTTACTCTCATACTAACAACAACAACAAAAAACTGATCAGGCTGGAGAGTGTTTAAAAATAGGTTATCAAGCAAACCATGGGCTTTCTACACCTTCCAAATCCCCAAGCAGTTAGGTAGGGTCCATGGCTCAAATGCTGAATAAAGGACTCTTAGTGGAAGATCATGGGAAGTCTATGCCCAGTCTTCCTTGCGCACTCATCTGCCCTCTGCTGTGGTAACTTCAGAGTCCTTATGCTCCAGCTGGCACAGCTTTCACATGGCAGGGGCTCCACTGGGTTCTCACAGAGTAATTTGGTGGAGCAAAGGACCTACTCAACCTCTGAGAAATGTATCAAAGTGGGTAACTGATAAAATAGCATCTCCTGAAATACCTAAAAACATGTCTCAATGTGTCACACATGGGCAACAGCTTTTAGGAACATCATTGCACGTTCATGAAATATAGAGATTACTCTTAGGAAACCTATCCCTTCCTATCTCATTAGAACCAAGTTTGCTCAGTAATTTCTTTTTTTAATTTTTTATTAATTACACTTTATTCATTTTGTATCCCCCCATAAGCCCCTCCACCTCCCCTCCCGATCCCACCCTCCCTCCCCTTTCTGTATGCATGCCCCTCCCCAAGTCCCTCTGATAGGGGAGGTTCTCCTCTCCTTTCTGATCTTAGTCTATCAGTTCTCATCAAAAGTGGCTGCATTGTCCTCTACTGTGGCCTGGTAAGGCTGCTCCCCTCTCAGGGGGAGGTGATCAATGTTGCTCAGTAATTTCTTGAGAAGAAGTTGACCATTGAAGTTATGTTTCTGTATAAGCCTGTCTAATTTTAGATTCTATTCTGAGAAACTTTTGTTCAGCAAATATCATGCACATTCCCTAACAGTAGCCTTTTTAGTAAATGTTCTACAATCTTCTTGTTCTGTTTAACCTTTTCCTTTTGAAACCAGGTAGAAAAGAACTAAATATTTAATCTCCAAAATCAATCTAATCTATACCATCCTCAAAACTCTCATTTCCATATTCCATTCTCCAACTGTAGCCTGTAGAATTTTTAAGAATTTTGCAAGTTGGGGTAATAGATAGTACTCACCCCAAGAGTCATGGACCTGTCTAGCAAAACAAAACAAAACAAAAAACAGTGCCATGAATGAGACGCCCTCTTTCAAGTGGCTGGTCAGAGGAATCCAAAACAATATAGGCTATGCCTTTGCACTTGAGTGTCTCCCAGAATACAAAGTTTAGGCTTTATTGGACTTTTGATTCAGGACTTGGAATGAGGATCAAAACCTGATAGAAGCCTCAACTCTGAGGACTCAGTCTTGTGCAAGCTGCCAAGGATAGAGGAGTATTCAGTAGTCCTATCCAGATGTAAGACCAGAATAATGACTGGACTGACAACATTTCCAGAATTGTGAAATAGTGGCATATTCATCTTGGGGGTTACCAACAGCTGCCTAATAGAATTTAAGGCCTTATCAACAGGAAGGAAGTTATTTCTGATACTATAAACATAGCCAGCTTACCCAACAGGAGAGATCATAGACCTGTGAGAAGAACCTACTGTTGCCAGTTTGTTAAAACAATGTAACTACCTATACAATATAAATACCTATCCTTACACACACAGAGGAGTATATATCTTACCCCTAAAAAAGTGGTTTCTTTTGGCAGCAGCAGAAGACCATTACAGAAAGTTATAACTCATCAAAATGTAGAGAACAAAAACCCATAGGGTGCACACCAGCAGTTGGTACATCTGCAACACAATTCCTGCATCCAAGGCTCTGGGATCATCACATAGAGGGGAATGAAAAGATTGGAAGAAACTGAGGACCAGGAAGCCTGCTGTAAGAGTGTGTCTCTAGCTATGCCAGGGAAAGTGCACCCAGGAAGTCTTAGCAATGTGGCAGCCTAAACAAGATCTCTACAATGTAAACAATAGTTGATATCCTAACGTACAGGATGAAATATCATAAAGCTCCACTCCTACTTGAAGAGCTGCAACCTATTAACAACTGCCGAGAGACTGAAAGAGAGAGAAAATCCTTCCAAGAGATGAAGCCCTGATTTGTTGTGTAACACCTAGTAATCAGTTCTGAAAATATACATGTAGGTAACACCGACCAGACTCAGTGGTTAAAAAACAGGCAAACCAGAGAACAGGGGTGTGGGTGCAAGGCAGAAGCATAAGGGGATTATGTGAAGGAACGTGATGTGATTAATTTTAATTAAATTTTTAAAATAATAAAGAAAGGGAGAGATGGCCCAGTCATTAAGAACAATTGCTGCTCTTGGAACGAGCCTGGGTTCAGCTTCTGGTACCCATATTTGGTGGCTTACAATAGCTTGTAATGCTACTTAAAGGGGATCTGATGCCCTATTGCGACTCTGTGGGCACCTGTATGTATGTGAGTCATTATTATACACTTAGGCACATACAAATGGAATTTTGTAGAATGAGGAAGCGCTCCTAAGCATCACTAATCATGAGAACCAAACCAAGTGAATCTTTGGTGCTTTCCGTCTGCCTTTATAGCTGCTCACAACATAAGCGCAGCACTGCACTTACCTTTTTCCACCGAGCAGGGATTCTGGCATCAAACATGCAATCCAGAGCATCCCGCAGATTTTCACTCATGATAATGGTGCCATCCACAGCTAGTTTCAGCTCAGTCAGGGTGCTGCGGACGAGGCTGAGCACCCTCTGCATCCTGTCTATCTCCTGCCTGAGGAAAATGTTCATGGGCTGGAACAGTCCCATCTTCTGCAGTCTGTCCTTCACCTTCCATGGAGACATTCGAAGCACATGTTAGGAATTAGATAGCTACTATAATAGTACAGGGCCATGCCCTGGGGCTTCTAAATAAGCTTTTTACAATGCCATGAAGAATAAGCATTTTGTTTTTCAAAAGTAACATAAAAAAAGAAGATATAAGAAAACAAATGCCTGTATAGGACCAGATCCCATTTAGAACAGGGAGCCATTAAGTCTCAGAAACATGCAATTTGTATATAGCTACAAGCACTTTATCAAATGAACTTACTGGGAATTATTTAGTCCCTGCTGACATAACATATGTGTGAATACATGCAGACAGCATGTACAGGGACACAACCACTCTGTGGGTTGTCTCACATAACTAAACATCTATTTTTAAAGCACTCTGCTTTTTTCTATAATCATAGGTACCTTTTCACTCTCTTCTACTTTACAGGTATTTATTGAGAAGCTTCTGAATAGCAGATAGTGTGTTAAGCTCGACTATTTCATACTAGAGTAGTTCTAACAAAAAAAAACAAAACAAAAAAAAAACATTCTTCAAAATCTGGTTACCATGTTTTGTTACATAATTATTCTATTTTAGATATTGTAATTGCTTCATAAATACTATGCCCCCTAGTAGATCCAATGACCTCTTTCAACACTGTAATGAAGAGACCTTACAAAAGCTGATAACAGTATCGATTTCCTCCAAGCCAGTGATGAGAGATTCTCGCAGGGAAATTATTCCCTTGACAAGGGGCCTTGAGTATTAGTAGCCAAAATGATCTTTTTGGTAGCAACAACAGGATGTGGAAGCTACTTGTGTGTCGATAGGAGCAGCATCATGCAGTTCTTAGAGCATACAGAAAATAAGTCACTGCTTGTTTTATCAAAGACTTATAAAGCATATCACAATAAATTTTCTTAAAATATGCATTAGATGCTAAAACATTAACTTCCATAATTATGAATTGCTTAGAAGCTATTTATATACCGAAAAGATCAATTTTCAAATATGAACAACCAGCAGAGAGATGATGTTAGAAAATGCAGCCTGTGTGATTGATAGAGAAGCAGGCTGGCCCTTGTCCAGAATGGTCAGGGAGATGGTTTATGGGTTTTGTCTGTTAATTTGTTTAATTTTATTTAATTTGTTAATTTGTTTAATTTGGGGGGATGGAGGACATTATAAAGGTGGAGGGCAGATATGGAAGAACTGGGAAATAAGTGGGATTGAGGTATATGATATGAAATTTACAAATTATCAATAAAGAAATTAAGAAGGCCTGGATTATAAGGTATGCATTAAATCACACACTGACACATAAGTATGTACATGCATACACATACAAGCATACACACATGATAACTGGTCCTTCAGTGATTTCATCTAAATGATGGCATTATAAAGTACCTCAAGGAAGGCTATATAATACAGCAATACAAATATCAGTAATAAACATTAACGTTTCTCCATGGTTTTTCTTCTGTGGTTTGTCAGAGAGCTCCTATGGTTCAAAATGTTATCTTTCACTTCAGAAGCTTAATTTTGTCCTGTTTCCTTCTTTCTTACTTCCTCACAAACAGACTCAGCCAAGACTGCTATGGGGACCTCATAGACTCACCTCAAAGGGACTATAATCTTCTGGAAGCTTCTCCAGCATATCATCAGCCAGGCGGGCCACCACAGCCTCCCGTGTCTCGTCCCCTCCACCAGAGCTGTCCTTGGGCTGGATGCCCAGGATGGTGTCCAGCACGTCTTTGGCCAGCTTGCTCTGGTAAGTAATGTCCGCATTGGGGTGCAGTCCAAACACCTCTGGGCTGTCATAGGCAGGCAAGCTCTGAGGGAAAAAAAATAACAAATTAAACACGCATTGCTAACATATACATCAATTAAACTACAGAGTCAGGAAATATAAAGGGTTTGGCTAGGATAAACACTTATTATGTCTCACTTGTGATTAGCCAAAAACCCCATTAATGTCTCCACATGCCCAAAATGTAAAGTTGTAACACTGAGAAATACAAAATAGACTGAAGCAAAATTTAACTGGAGACAAATCTTTTTTATATAACATGCAAGATTTAAAAAAGGAGCTTTTTTGAGTAATCTAATTGAAATTATTTAAAAGAATTGTATAATTAATGGCTATTGTATTGCTACAAATAGCAAAAAAATGAGTTTTAGGAAGCTTAGGTCAAATAAGACTGAGAGTAGAAAATGTTCTGTCCCAGGGAGAAAATGGAGACAGGGAAAAGAGAAATATTAAAAACACAACAGAGAAAAATAGACCGACAGAGAATCAGACACATCCAAGAACAGACCAATCAAGCAGGGAGTTTCCTCAACCACTGGGAATACAATTTGATATGTACTGCCATGTGTGAATCTCATCCTTAACTTTATTATCTTATTACTAGTCTGCCTCCCTTCTTCTGCCTTACCTTGTTCCTTCCACACATTTTTCTAAGAGCTACCTCTGTTGCATTGTGAAATGGGGTATATATTTAGAAATATCAATGCAGGTATCCTTAAATTTATAATAAGCTCAGGCACTTTTCTGTTCATTGCTAATGATTTAAGGACACATCCACTATAGTAAGGCAAATGTTATTTGTTGATTTGAATTAATAAAAGCACAGAGGAGGTAATATATGATAAATCCAATATATTTATACATCAAAACCCTATAAATATACTGACAAATGCATCCTTTCAGGGTGGTATGCATTAGTTTGTTTACACAGAGATAAATCTGAGACAGAGGCCAAACCAACTGCTAAATCATGATCTAATACATTCAAGGTACGAAGATGGAATGCAGATATCCTAAGCAGTAAATAGTCCTTCTTTATATATTCCTGACTGGCCTCTCAAAATCTACATTAGTCCATCTTAGAGAGGGGACTCCTAAGCCAGGGACAATTCTACCAAGGATCACTTGGCAACACATGGAGACATTTATGTTTAAGTCAGGTAAAGGAGTGCTACTGGCATTTAGTAGACAGAGGCCAGGGAGTATGCAAGATTTTCTACAATGCACAAGACAGAATAACCTGGTAATAAATGCCAATGCTGCCAGAGTTAAGAAATTCCGACTTAATCAAGACAGCTGCATGCATGTCCATACAAAGCCCTAGGCCCGGGGTTAAGGATGAGTGTAAAGGATTAACCACCTGGGTTAAAAGTAAAGTAGACTGGCTTCAGAGGCTTCCCTTGCTTTACAGGTATAGTACCTGAAGTCCCATGGGGAGAGGGTCCCATATGACTTACCCAGATCCCCTCCCTACATCCACCCAATCTGTCATCACACACACACACACACACACACACACACACACACACACACACACACACACACACATAAAGAATGCTCCCTAAGCCATTAAAACATAAGAAATATATAAAAGGAGCTTGCACAAGGCTGGTTCTCAGAGCAAAGATGAGCGAGGTCATCAAGAGATTATAAAAATATAAAGAAAGGAGGAGCCTTTGTTTACAACATTGTTACAATTAATTTTAAAAGCGGTAAGAGCAGGGTAAATAAATTTCGTAAGGGTCAAAGAGCTGGAAAGATTTGTTCTTCAGTTGAAGCCAGCACACCTGGATGTGCTGAAGGTAGCCGTCCACTGTGCTGCACTTTGGAATGTTGTATCCGTGGTAAAAGGTGAAATCTGGCCCAAACATGTTTTCACTGAACCAGACCTTTGCCAGTGTGTTCAGCAGCCTCTTGTCATAGTCGTCAGTGACTCTGCCTCCATACTGAATCTCTCCTATCATGTATCGGACAGTGGTCCAGGACACACCCTAGAAGCATTCACAAAACAGTATGTATTAGCATATATTCACCATCATCCATGTCTGCAGCACAGTCATTTTTCTTCGGTGATGCCAAGATACAGTGCAAAAAAAGAATCCAACAAGCCAAAGTAAGGAGTTACCCCAAGGTTACATCCATTACTTTGAATAGATTCTTGTGAGAAATTCATGCTTTCATACTTCAGTATTTCTAATGTTTACTTTTAATTGTTCATTTCTATGTTTTAATTATGTGTATGGATATGTCTTGGGTGTGGTATATACATGTATGAGTGCAGGCGTCAGAGGAGTATGGAAGAGAGGATACGATCTTCTAGAAATGGGGTTACGGGCAGTTATGAGTCACCTGACATGGATACTAGGACATGAACTCGTGTCCTCTGCAGAGCAGTGTATGTTTTTCACCACTGAGTCATTTCACCAGTCCACAAAGTTTACTTTTTGAAAATATATAGACAGAAAAAAAAAAAAAAAAAAAACAAAGGTAATCTAAACTCTTGTCTTTATTTTTAGTTTTACTTCCTTCCACCCTACATTCCATTTCTGCCACTGGTCCTTTCAGGTTGTCTTATGAACTGTGAACTTGCCTTTGAAAAATAAATTCATAGTAAGATGTTTTCAGTTTTTTTTTCCAAAAATCAAGAAGCAACTGTGACCCGTGTGAAGTGTACATGCCTTACGAAGACCCTACAAGCCTATCGAATTCTCATGGGATTCACCCCCAGTGTTGAACCATTGTGTAACATACACTGGCCTCCTATGGTCAGTTTGTCGGGGGATGAAGCAGTAGGCACAGCAGTACCTTCTTGATATCCATGTCATCCAGATGGTTTTGAATGAACTGCACAGTGGCGTTGAAGTCTGCTTGATTAAATTCATAGGGGATATTCCACCCTAGCGGACCAAACTTGCGCCGCTCCTGGACAGTGGAGTGGAGGAATGCCACTGCATACAGCATGGGCTTCCACTGGGTCCCCACACTCACGTCCAGTAGGTCCTGGCTCACGCCTGTTGTGAGAACATCACACTTTCGTTTGTTCTTCCTTTTATAAGGAACCATTCCAACAAATTGCTTGTACTAATTTCTAGTTATTTCACACTATTTTATTACATTCTTATGGTAATTATGATATGAATTTGTCCCTTTTGGAAATGATTTCTCTGTGAAGCATCTCCGTGGAAGCCTAAGTCATGAAGAATGCTTGCTAACATGATACAAGTTCTTACCAATCCAGCAAGACAATGTAACAATAAAATATAGATAGAAGGAAAATGGCTATAAAAAGAATACTATTATGAATTAGTAATAGTACCTGTATTAACATCTGAATTATAAACTAGGAGCATACACTTAATTTGATATCAACTAAAATAATGTATGGAAAAAGTCCATTTCAATCCAAGTATGTGCCCCAGATAATTATTATGCATTAATAAATTATATTATACATATCAATTTTTATTGCATTACCTTTCAAGCTTTATTTTATACCATGGTGATATAGATTGGCAGGATTTGACTCTTAGTGGTAATTCCCTTAAGCATATCTGTAGTTTTTATTTGGAATATGTTAATAATAATGTCATTATTATTAAATATTCTCAGTTTAAGTTTATCCTCCTAGAAATCCTTTACTGATCCTCCTTTAGGTAAGAAAAATTGAAAGGTTTTTGAGTGAACTGAGCAAGTGACTAAGACGGCTATCAGTAAGCAGGGGAAGGATGGGCGCTTCTGTCTCTACTCTCCAGGTACCTTCTGTGACAGACAAGTGAAGATGAAAGCACGGTCTCAGGTCCAGTTGTGACAAGAGTGTTTTTTTGGTCCTTTTTGTTAACATTTTATGTATTTTTTCCAATTTTGTTTTCAGTTTGTTTTCTACCACACAGCCCTACCATGTGGCTCAGGATGTTTTAACCCATGTAAGTCCTGATTCTCCTGCTTCAGCCTGCTGACTCCTGTGGTTACTGAATGATCGCACTCCACCATTGTCTGACTCTTCACCTGGATGATGCTCTGACATATGGATCCAGCCGCACTTGTAACTCGACCTTCCATTTGGAGGAGGTTTTACTGCTGCTCTAATTCAGGTGTGGTGCAGAGAGACCACAACAACAATGACACAATACACATATGATGTTAAAACAGAAAACTGTCTTACACAGGCACAGTAAAACAAAATACTGAACTGACAGGAAAAGTGAAGATAGAAAATCATTGCTCAATTCACACCATTTTTCAACAATACACAATGCAGCTACTTGGTCTCCATCAGGCAGTGGAAGAGTAGGCTTTGCTAATTTTTCTTTAAGAAAACAGTTTGTGTGTGAATCCTGCAGACCAGAAGCATTCGCCAACTTACCACCATATGTTCTTTTCAGGCCTGCCCGGAGCCCCTGAGGTGGCTCATTGGCAAACCTGATGGACATCTGAAGGAGCGAGATAGGGAAGTGCTTGTGGCCCTCGGTGGTAATCCATAGGCGGAAAGCATCGTGCACAGTCTCTGTTTCTGTAATTATGTCCATTAGTTCATCCAGGAAATCAAGGCCCAAATGGCAGTTTTGCAGAAGTACCCATCCTCCCTAAGAATACCAGCAAACAGATGGAAATCACGTTAGTTTCCGTCCCCTTCAGGTGAAATCTCCACATTTCAGTACAGCTCTCTTTAGAAAGTTAAGTCAATAAAATTTAGAACCAAAGCACAGTAACCACTGTAACTTAATCTAAGCCAACTCTGTTCATTCGTTAATGCTGGATTAATGCAATGTGGTTTTAAGTGTGTTGCATACCTTTGTTGCATAGCACACTGTCATGCCAAGACACATAATGATCCTTTAGATCAGTCACAACAATGACCAGAGTAAAACACAGAAGTAACAACTTACAAGTATAGCTGAGCTCAGCCCCCTCCCCCAGTTCCACCAAAACTGCATCAAAGCATTTTAAGTCACAATTGCAAAGACAAAGACAAGTGAGGATAAACGATATTGATGACATGTAAACAAGTTCCAGAAAACTGAACCCTAAAGGGCTGCCCTCAAGGTGCCCTGAGATGAAAACAGCAGAAACTGGCAGAAGGTACTTCTGGGGGTAGCCAAGAATGGCACAAGGACCAAAGAGCAAGACACCTGACCTGACTGGAGAGGAGGAGGAATCAGAAGAAGAGGAAGTCCAGCGTGTCTCCACCTCTCAGAGATGAGAAGCTGGGTCTCCGGAGAGCAAACCAGACAGAGCCTGGACTGAGGACCAGCACTCCGGGTATAAAGCAACCACACTGAAAAAACACTAGACAGAGTTTGTCCACAGAATTTTAAGAGTTGTTTCCTCCCTTCTGGATTCTCAGATATATACCCGCTAGAATATGGGAGAAACTTCTCTGTGAGTCTAATTACTTTAAAAACAAGAGGTTTAGAATGGTAAGTCTTAATTTCCACATGAATAATTCTGTAACTGTTAAGGACATTCTTTACATCCAGCAACCCAGTCAAATTTGGGTTTGCTGGATGCAACAAGCTCCCTGATATCTAGTCTATGGGATATTCTAAATAGAGCCATCTACAGTGCCAATACCTCCATCTTGGTGTGTTTTTAAATCTAGACCTTTGCACTTACATTTGCCATGGTCTGGTGCAACAGCTTCCTCGCGTGGACCTCCTGACCCTGGCCCATGGACACATACCGTGTTTCTATTTTTAGCCTCTTTCCCAAAGCAATAATGGAATCTGTGGGGTCAGAGCCCATGGACAGAAGGCAGATGAGTGGCATCCGTGGGTCAGACTCCTCCCAGGTCTTTTCTAAGTCCAGCATAACTCCCTCTGCATAGTTTTCGCCCATGGAGTCCATGATGTATTTGCGAGCCTGCCAAAAGTAGTACAAAGTCAGCAAAACCACTATTGGCTCCTTTGTGCATTACAGTATAGTGTGGCTTCTACAGATTATCTCAAAGATGTCCATATTAGCTGCTAGGGAAACAAGGCAGAGACTGCTTTTCCTGGTGTTTGTTTGCTATTTATTTATACTTCAATGCTATACTTAGAGAGGCTAGGTTACTTGCTAGACAAAATCATATACTTAGAACTTCAGAATCTAAGCTGGGTCCTGGGTCCCATTTCAACACACTGATAGCTTCTTGCTGTGTGTATAAGACAGAGAAACTTTATTATTCCAAACAGTTTAACAGTACAATACTTAAAATTTAATGAGTATTTACCATAACAAATAATCACCAGGTAGCTATTTTTCACACTTATTAGATATTGAATTAATTAAATGGCTAATTGATTTTTAAGATATTTAGTGGATCATATGTCTGCTCATCATTTTCATTATCCCTTGCCATTTTTTGGTTTTGTCTTTCTGCTATTAATTTTGTTTGAATTTTGAGTAAAATCAACACTCAGAAGATCTCAGGATTTTTTAAATTTTTATTTTATTTTATTTTTAATTACACTTTATTTACTTTGTATCCCCTCTCTAGTTCCCTCCCTCCTCCCCTCCCAATCCTTCCCTTCCTCCTCCCCCTTCTCCACCCATGCCCCTCCTCAAGTCGACTGGTAGGGGAGGGTTTCTTTTACTTCTTTCTGATCCTAGTCTGTTAGGTCTCATCAGGAGTGGCTGCATTGTCTTCCTCTGTGGCCTGGTAAGGCTGCTCCCCCCTCTGGGGGAGGTGATCAAAGAACAAGACAATCAGTTCATGTCAGAAACAGTCCCTGTTCCCATTATTATGGAACCCACTTGGACACTGAACTGCCATGGGCTACATCTGTGCAGGGGTTATCTCCATGCATGGTACTTGGTTGGAGTATGAGTCTCTGGGAAGACCCCTGTGTTCAAATTTTCTGGTTCTGTTGCTCTCCTTGTGGACCTCCTGTCCTCTCCAGATCTTACTATTTTCCACTTCTTTCATAAGATTCCCTGCTTCTGCCCAAAGTTTGGCCATAAGTCTCAACATCTGCTTTGATAGTCTGCAAGGCAGAGCCTTTCAGAGGCCCTCTGTGGGAGGCTCCTAACTTGTTTCTTGTTTTCTTCTTCTTCTGATGTCCATCCTCGTTGCCTTTCGCAATGGGGATTCAGCATTTTAGCCAGAGTCCTTCCTCTAAATTAGTTTCTTTCGGTGTACAGATTGTAGTAGGTTTATCCTATATTATATGTTTTATGAGTGAGTATATACTGTGTGTGTCTTTCTGCTTCTGGGACAGCTCATTCAGAATGATCCTTTTCAGTGCCCACCATTTACCTGCAAATTTCATGATTTCCCTGTTTTTCATTGTGTAGATGTCCCACAATTTCTGTATCTTTTTTTCAGTTGAGGGGCATCTGGGTTGTTTCCAGCTTCTGGCTATTACAAATAAAGCTGCTACAAACATGGTTGAGAAAATGTCCTTATTGCGTACTTGAGTCTCTTTTGGATATATACCTAGGAGTTGTATGGCTGGATCTTGAGGAAGCGCTATTCCTAGTTGTCTGAGAAAGCGCCAAATTGATTTCCAAAGTGGTTGTACAAGTTTACATTCCCACCAGCAGTGGAGGATGGTTCCCCTTTCTCCACAACTTCTCCAGCATGTGTTGTCACTTGAGGTTTGATCTTGGCCATTCTGATGGATGTAAGGTGAAATCTCAGGGTTGTTTTGATTTGCATTTCCCTGATGGATAAGGACATTGAGCATTTCTTTAAGTGTTTCTCTGCCATTCGATATTCCTCTACAGAGAGTACTCTGTTTAGCTCTGTTCCCCATTTTTTTAATTGGATTACCTGGTTTGCTGCTTTTCAGCTTCTTTAGTTCTTTATATATACTGGATATTAGCCCTCTTTCAGATAAAGGGTTGGTGATGATTCTTTCCCAATCTGTAGGCAGTCGTTTTGTTTTGATGATGGTGTCCTTTCTTTTAGAGAAGCTTTTCAGTTTCATGAGGTCCCATTTATTGATTGTTGCTCTTAGAGCCTCTGCTGTTGGTGTTCTGTTCAGGAAGTTGTCTCCTATACCAATGAGTTCTAGGCTCTTCCCCACTTTTTCTTCTAACCACTTTAATGTGTCTTGTTTTATGTTGAGGTCTTTGATCCAGTTGGACTTTAGTTTTGTGCAGGTTGATAAGTATGGATCTATTTGCATATTTCTACATGTAGACATCCAGTTAGACCAGCACCATTTGTTGAATATGCTACAAGTTTGTGCAAACATTTCTTTATATTTGTTCTCTGTATTGTCAATAAAACCACCAGCCAATGCTAAGCAATGGAAAGAACTGGGTTGGACATCCATGTCTGGAGGGGAGGTGAAAGTGGTGAGTGGGAGGAGAGGAGAGATCAGCAGGAGGAGAGGACTTGGAATGAGAAGGAAAGATGAACTGGCCCTAAGATAAAAGCAAATATAATGTGGGAAATCTGAATGAGAGGAAATTATGTGGGCTTGGAGATTTAGAACGGAGTAACTATTGCCCAGCAATGTGCTCTAAGTTAAATAAATCCTAGTCTCTATGTGGTGACTTGCATATACATCTGGTTTAGGAATAAGTACTTTTTAACTAAAAGATAAATCAATAATAAATATTAATAATCAACAACACCAATATGAAAGGCTCTAACTTTGTTCTAAATGTCTTTTTTTTGCATCATTCTGGTAATTATTTTAAAAGTGTGTTTATTATGTCCAGTGATGTTGTCAGAAATATATTCTATGTACACATTTGGAGCCACTAAGATCAGGAAGCAAATCAAAGGCTGGGTGTTGCGCATTTGCAGTTGCCGCTAACCACAGGGACCTGCCATCCCAGAAGAGTCTCAGAGTATGCCTCACCCACATCCAAAGACCAAGCATTTTCTGTGTTAAGTTAGTGGTGTGCTCCATACCAATGCACAAATCAACATGAACCCAGTACGAACTCTGCCATACAAGCCACTACAATACAGGAGGTGTCACATGACAAATCACTGAAGGTTTTCTGGCTAAAAAGTCTCTGTTGAAATTTTATATAAAATTCTTGCTCCTGGGAAAGAGAGACGTCCTTGGGGTCACAGCTGCTGTTTCCAACTGGCTTCATGTTCAGGGACTGCAGCTCATTCTGTGATGTAAGCCTCAAAGACAAAACTACAACATGTGTGAGAAAGAAAATTTTCTCACCTCCATAACTTCAGCCCAACATAAACATCATCTCACAGGGCCAACAGGCATCATGAGTCTCCCCATGCCCGTATATCTCTGACTTACAACTGGTACGAAACTTGCTTACCAACCTCCTCTTCAGTCCAAGGAGGTGTGTCAGATGGCCCTACCGAGTAGTGAAAGAATGACTGCCTTTGGGAATCCTACTTCTCCTCGATTAAACATACAATGACCAAGTAAATGCCCTACATCCTCCTGAGGATGTGTAACAACAAAAGCAGTTAATACTGCAGAAATGGATCAGGGCATGCACCTTAACAAAGGAGCACTTCAGCTAACCATGAGAGTATGAGTAGGCTTTGTCAAGCAAGGAGAGTCAGATTCGTAGAATGAGAGTGGGCTGTATTCCGTACGTACAGCGAACACGTGCAGGAATTTTGGAGCAGACAAGCGTAAGTTGTCGAGGCTGCATAGAGGACATGCAGTGTAATTTGTGTAAGTGGTGGTTTGGTGTACGGGTCAGCCCAGCTTCTGCACAGCCTGCCAACCTATAAAAACTTAACACATCATTGGCACAAATAAATATACAGTGCTCCATTTTCACAAGTGAATCTGTCCAACTCCAAAGGACATTTTGTCCCATCTGGTCTCAATTAAATATGTTCATCTATTTTTTGCGGGGGGGGGGGCAGGGTGAACTCAGAAACTACTTCATATGGACTGACCTTCCTTTGTGTCATGTCTTTTAGACATCACTTTTTACATAGCATTAGATACCCTCTAACAGAGTGGTTTTCTTGTAACCAAACCAACTGAAATTACCTGTGGTGGACTGTCACACCAGACAAAATAAAGAGCATTAATTGTAGTTTTATACTGCATATAGGGAGTGGGGACCGAGTATATCCACATTGTAGACCTTCTCCAGCAATAAATTTTAAAAGGACTTACACAAATAAAAATTTCAGGGGGTATAATATATTTCCAGAGGACCATCTAGATTTTATTTAGGAATTGAGTGTTATTGCAAGGGCCAAGAGAATTCACTGGGGGACTTGAAAAGCTGATAAATGGAATGTTCTTTCTATTTATTTTTAGAATTTAAAGGATGCATCAAAGTGGGCAAGAATATTCAAAGTGTGTAGAGCAAAGAAGTCACACTCATGGCCTGACTGAGGATGACAAAGCCTTACAAAGACAAAAAAGTTGCGGAAAAATCTGCAGGCCTTCATTGTAACCTTGAAACTAAATATTTCCTGTAGAAAAAGGAAGGAAGGCAAGGATGCAGGGATGGATAAAGAAACAACTATACTTACGCTTTCCCTCCTGTACCTCCCTGAAATAAGGCAACTATTTGACCATTCATTGGGGCAGAGTAAAAATAATAAAGTTGAAAGGGAAAACTGAGTAGAAGGGTGACCTCAGTGCCCTATGTGGCAAAACTCATTTCTCTTTTCTTAATACGTCTGTGGGTCTAGCTGTCTTTATGATTCAGGGTACCTGAGTTGAGTTGATGATAGTTAGCCTGTACATTTCGTAACACTCCTCACAGGGAATAACATGAATACACAGTCGAGCAGATTTTACTCTATGATTGCTTTATGAACATCATTAAGAAGTCTACCTGTGCTGAATTTTAAAGTTTTAATTGTGAAAGCAAGATCTGTGCCTTTTCAGTGGGTAAATGCCTATTATGTAAGACCAGAATATAAAAGGTCTTGGGGAAGATGAGGCTTTTGGAAGAAGGATACACATTTAAGCCATGTGCAGAATTTAGTTAAGGGATGATCTGGTTCCTCTCTCCTGGAGCTGTGGCATTATCTAGAGACAAACCATGTCTTTCCTGCTAGATGGCTCTCTCACTGTTTCTGCAGTTCTCTGGCTTACACAAAAGCTGATTTACAGCTAGTAAAATAGAGCAGCTATATAATTTCTGAGTTATTATAAAATGATACATGAGAATAATATATTACATTTATGTTATTCTTACATGCCAAGCTCAGCATTATGATTTTCTCATTTGCTTTTGTTTTACCACTAGGACCAAAGGGGTTTAATAAATCACTTAGTGAAGTGTGCAACTCAGTACTTCATTTGTTGTTTGCATTTCCATTTATCACATTTGTCTTACTAGAAAATTGCTTGGAAGCCCACAAGGAAATTCTAGTTGATAATCACATTTGAAATGCTTCTTTAAACTTAAAGGAAATTTCTGCTTTAGAAAATTCTCTGTTGTTTCCTTTTAATACACATTTTACCTGGGCAATGGTTCTATCGGGACACCAGGACCTAATAAGAAGGAGACGTCTGAAGCAGTCAAGAGATTTATCATAGGCATTTGGAAGAGGCTCCTCTTCTGGGTTTTCTTTGTCAAACCAAATTTTCCACATTTTTTCATTCCTTGATATCTGGAAATACCATGGGATAAGAAGCATGTCATGTCACACAAAAGTTTTTCAGTAATTGTTCATTAACATTTTTTATCAAACTTTCTGACCATTCTAGGCATGTGTAAGCCATATACCTTCACTATTTTGAAGCTTTATATCACAGTGACAAAATGTCTGATTGTCTAAGATCAAATATCGCTTGCTCTCAGATCAGTCTAGGTTAATGCTCTCCTAGAGCAAGCCACCATGGTAAAGATTCCCAGGATACTTCATTTCACCTCTGCCTTTACGGCAATAAATTTATAAAGAAAGAAAAATCAATAAAGCCTCATTTTCATTATCTCAAGGTAGTCTCATTTGCTTCACAAACTCCTCTTATAATCAGGCCATACTCATTCATGTTTCCTCATTTCCATGGACCACTCTTGACACAGAGGAAGACATTTAACACATATTTGTTATTGAATATACAGGTTTGGGGTCAATATTCTATCTATCTACAGTAATTTGAGCTATTGCATTTAATATCACCATCACCTAGAAGATCAGACACCTGCTACTTGTAAGCAGTTGGCAAAGCACATGGTACATTACCCTTTGGGGTCCAGAAACCTCAAGGACACCAGCCTTACAAAGGCAATAGCATCAAAAGCTTCAAACAAACAAAAAACATCTATAATTAATGGAATCTTATATCCTCTGATAAGCCATTTGATGAAAGCCTCAAGTATATTTCCTGGTTTAATCAAAAGAATAATCTTTTGGGGTTCATGTTTAGAAAGCATCATATGAGAATAAAAATTAATCTGTTGATTTCATAAAAGGCTGCATAATGGGGCAGGATTTCAAACATGTGACACACTCTCCAATAGGCAGCAACCTCTCATCAGAATGATCCAGGAAAGATTCCTGGGTGTATCCTGAAGGAAGAGTAATCTAGAGTACCTAATAACTCCAAAATTAAGTTATTTTACCTAAAATAATTGATTATGGCCAAATTACATGTTAGCAATAACAAACAACACCAGTTCTGAGCCAAGGTATAAAAACACATCAGAATTTAAGCATCTAGTGAACTTGAATTATCACAGTTAAAAGCCCATCTTGGGACATTTCTTGGTCAAAACAAATAGCCATAGCCCCTTCAGTCTTCTCCTGAATAAAAACATCGAGCTGCCAATCTCACTTCTCTATGATCAACAGATATTGAAAAACCTCCTTCTTCCACGTTACACAGAACTTCCATAATTCCAGCACATACACAGATCATGGGCAACTAAATGATTTAAAAAAACAGAGTTCTTCAGATCCTGAGATCAATGTTAGCATGAGTTTCAGTCCTAGATGACTAACTAAAATGAACCTGGGAAGGAAAGCACAGGAAGAGGAAAGAGAAACAAAGGAAAAAGAAGGAAATTTAGTAGAAAAGGCTAAGTTTCTTTCCATCTCTAAAAATTATGCATGTATGTAATTATTCTAGCTAACTGGACCTATCAGCATTTCTGTATTTAAGCCTTCATTGATGACAGTGACCTGTAGGCTGAGACAATGCCTATTAAGCTTTCCTAGGCACACTTATTCCCACATAACCAGCCTGCAGTGGGTGTTTTTTGTGAACAGGCTGTGGATGAGCTACAGGAAGGCCAAACATCAAACGGGTGCAATACCTTCTAAGACTGACACTGTATGAAGCATCAGTCTTCCACAAACACGTAGTGATGAGTAGGAAAGCTGCTCATGAGGAGAGTAGCGCAAGCCCATTCAAAGAACATGTTACCTGATCAAGGATGTCTGAAAACTGCCTAAGTTTGCTAAGTTCCACCAAATTCAGCCAAGTCATATCTAGGATCCATTTTGATGGTTTAGGAGGACAGGTTTTAAGATCCAGTGAGGCACCACCTTTAAAATTAAACATAGGAAGTTTCTAGTTCTTCTTTCTTTACTTTAAAATAATTCATTTAGAAAATGTTTCTACTTGATGTGGCTTAATTTCAATGAATTTACTACCTTGACATTTAATAAATTTAGAGATATAAACCATAGTGAGGCACATGTTTCAAACCTAAATAAGCAAATGGATGATTACAGAAAAAAAAAATCATTCAATTATCAACACTTTAGCTTTAGAACAAACTTAGGATCTCAAGGGCAGGCTGTTTGACCCCCACCCCAGGGGAGGAGCAGTCTGTTAGGCCACAGAGGAGGACTTTGCAGCCAGCCCTGAAGATACCTGATAAAACAGGGTCAGATGAAAGGGGAGGAGGTCCTCCCCTATCAGGGGACTTGGAAAGGGGCAGGGAGGAGACCAGGGAGGGAGTGTGGGGTTGGGGAGGGAATGAGGGAGCGGGATACAGCTGGGACACAGAGTTAACAAAATGTAACTAAAAAGAAAAAAAAAAAAAAAAAAAAAAAAAAAAAAAAAAAAAAAAACCTGATGCTGGATTCTCACCTAATTAGCCTGGCCAGCATCCAGGACAACCTATCTTCTCTACCTGGAACTCTCCTTCCAAATTTTGAAATGGAATGATGTGGCCTAAAGTGTATCTTTAGATATATTTGAAGGATTCTCTTCTATAAACAATTTACATCTATTTTGACCACATCCTAGGGCTTGGTTTTTAGGGATAACTGATCTTAGCACACATAACATTTAGCAACAATAAAGGACACCTTCAAAATATCATTACTGCCGTTTCAAAAAAAATCTCAGCAAGTAAAACTCATATTTTAATTCAAAGAAAGCATTAGGGAGTGTTCCAAATGATGATATGTGTTGTTTAATAAATAACATCCATTAAAGCATTTCGGGGGAATGTTCATGAAAAGAAAACCAAGCCATTTGGCCATCTTAAAATTCCTTGTTTTACTGAGCAGGTTATAAACAAATAATGTGCAAGGTATTTATTGAACCACTCTCTACTTAATCCAGGCACCATGTACTATTAAATTGTATTCTTTTGCCAGATCGATCTTAGTCCATTTGTAATAAGGTAAATGGGGCCTTGCAGCTATTTCAGTGGTGACATTAGCTCATAAAGTGAAAACGACTTGCTGGAATGCCAGGGAGAAGCCAAAGACCTAATGATAACAGCACCATGCTCAATAAATATCTCACCAATTTCCATGACAACTGCCTATTTTCCAACAAAATGGAAAAAATAAGGTACTTACCAGTGAGTTAACAAAAGGCTAATCTTGGAAACAAATGAGTGAGCCTTATAGGTTGAAGCACTGTTCAGTGTTTAATAGAGCGCAACTGTGATGGGACTATCTTGCCTGCCCAAAAGGGTACAATTAAGTACAAAGAATAACTGTATGTTGGGTGGAAAACTACTTTTGATAACATGACAGGAAATTAAATAGATTTCTTAATGAACATTTAATAAACAGCCGAGAAAAATATTCAAAGTAAATTCCTAGATGATCCAGTTAAAGTTTTCTCTTTATTCTTTGAAGAAAAAAAAAAACATATTTTACATTCTTCTTAAATGACATATTTACAATGAAAATGTACCAGTATTCCACCCCATCATAAAATTCAACAGCTCAGAAAAATTTAGAATGTCATATAAGCTTTGTTGGTCTCCTTGTGGAGCTCCTGTCTCCTCCATGTCCTTCTATCCCCCATCCCCCTCCTCCATAAGACTCCCAAAGTTTGGCTGTGAATCTCCACTCTGCCCAAAGTTTGGCTGTGAGTCTCAGCATCTGCTTCAATCCCCTGTTGGGTGGAGCCTTCTAGAGGACCCTCTACAATAGGCTCCCAACCTGCTTCCTCTCTTCCACCGCTTATGGTGTCTATCCTGTTTGCCATTCTGAATTAGATTTGAGCATCCTCCCTAGGGTTCTCCTTAGTGTTTAGCTTCTTTAGGTCTGTAGATTTTAGTATGGTTATCCTATATTATATAGCTAATATCCACTTAAAAGTGAGTGTAAACCGTGCCTGTCTTCCTATTTCTGGGTTACCTCACTCAGGATGATCTTTTCAGCTGCATCCATTTGCCTGCAAATTTCATGATTTTCTTGTTTTTAATAGCTGAATAGTATTCCACTGTGTAAATGTGCCAAAATTTCTGCACACATTCCTCTCTTGAGGACTGCATCTCATACTGAGAGCCAAATGAGCCCTTTCTCCCTTGAGGTATTTTTCTGGGAGAGGGGCAGTGACATAAAGGGGCCTGGAGGGTGGGATGAGGGAATTTTATCACAGCAAAAGAAAAATAAAACACGCTTTTCCTCCATGTTTCTAAAGTGCTTTCTTGCTTCCCACATAGTATATTACTTGTTTCACTTCTTTTTCTGTACTTTCCCTCAAAACTCAGGCACTCTGTGAAGGGGCTGGATCAATAAAATGTCTGCTCCATGCCCTGAGATACAGTAGATCCTCCAACAAATATTCATTATTTAACAAATGTTCAAATACACTATCTCTTGTAGGCAAACGAGCGAAATGCAAAGAAACAACTATGACTTAAAAATTGAAATAAGATTCTGTGATGAGGAGCCACACCTGCACTGTGCACAGTGCTGTCTCCTGACCTTTAATGAGGGTGAGAAACTCCTCATGCTTGAGCCGGTTCCTCTGGATGTCAATCTTCAGGGTGAGCAACAAAGTGAACAGGAACTTGTGCTCCTCGTATAGGCCTCGGACCGCATACTTGAAAACCTCATAGGTCATGTGCTCAATGATATTAGCAATCCTCTTGCTTGTAATTGGGCTCTTGACAGACCTGAGGAAAAGACCGTTTGGGATGCGCTTATCCCACTGCCCTTTTCACTTATCTTTAAAAACAGCATCTCTGGTGAAGATTAAGTAACTTTGGAGGACTAATTTTTACTTTCCACATCAAGACAGGGCTCCTAAATCTAAATTAACATAACAGAATTCCTCGCTGTTGTCTAAATCAATTTTAGCCACAGGCCATTATTATTCACAACAATGTCTTAGAACTGTTCCCATTTAGTGGAACACATGAAACCAAAAGAATCAAATCTACGGATGAACGGCCGGCACAGCCTCCTCTGAGCCCATGATGACAAGTCTGAATGATTTGTTAACATGGTGGTAACTACACTAATCTCCGATTTAGGAAAGGAAAATACTCTCACTGACAAGCAAAGAAGAATTCTATTATCATTGTTTTCATCCACAGATAAAGAATTTGGCTCAGCTTCCTAGGGAGAAAAGTACCTGGTTAAGGAAAGGTCAAACAAGCCCAGAAACTGACGGAGCGAAGTCTGATACATCTCATTAACCAAGCGCATCTCAGTGATGAGGAAATAGAGGATGCTGCCCCTTGTAGCAACTGAAAGACAAAGAACGAGGATGCACATAGCAGAGGAATAGAAAATAAATGAGCTATGCAGACACATCCCCCAATCTATTGCTGAAAACAGCTTGTTTTTTGCTTGCCTCATCACTAATAGCCTACTAAAAATGAGATCTAGAACAATGCTTATTACTTAATCCTTTTGTATAAGTTTGTCATAGTTTATTTCTAATTACCAAATGGTACTAATGAAACCAAGACAGTTCTCATTTTAGAATCTCTATGCTTCTTTTATAAATACAGGTTTTTTTCTGTGTTTTATCAGAAATAGAAAATGTAAGAACTTTTTAACAGTTTTCCATTTAACTCTTACCAAAAGATTCAGTAGGTCACTCAAGACCTTATTCTGAGGCTCATGATCAACAAGCCTAGCGTTGGCCTCAGGCTCTCAATACAAGACATCACAATGAGGGTGCCTCTGACTGGCCATCAGACCATCACATACTTTCAACTCTTTTTTTTTTTTTCCAGGAAAATTGCTAAATAAAAGGATAGCCAATTGGATATTTATTTTACATGTCTTAAGTAAACAATGAACACCTATTTATTAAATGGGCACCTACAACTGAGCACCAGAAAACCAACTTCCAAATAAACATAACAGTGTTGCTACATGATATGGAACTAATGGAAAATCCACAATACTAATTCTCAGATTTTACTAATTTACAGCAGTGTTTTAATCTCTCATTTAAAATAAATTCATGAGTACCTTAAAACACTTTCCAGCTGCTACAGATGATACCTAGAGTCGATACCATTACATAATGTTTCCATGGAACGGCAGAAACCATGATTGGCCACCCCACATTGCACTGTAATTTGTGTAATGTCCTTGCTTTAATTGGTTGCTCTAATTCTCATTTTTGCCTTGCTCTACTTTCTTGTGACATTTGTCTTCCATTACCAGACTCACCAGGTCGGTACTCCTCCCGGGCCGAGTTAATTTGAATTTCTGTCTCTCCAGAAATTTCCAACTTCTGTGTCACCTCCTCGGCTGTCTTTTTGGTGTTGCTCAGCACAACAATGAGACTCTCATCTTCCACCAGGGACCCTTGGGTGCTTGTCAGACGATAAAGCAAATTATCTTCTAGCTCCTTCATCCTTCTTTTGTTTGCAGTTACGTCCTCCATGAGATAAGTTCGTTCTTTCTCCAGTTCCTGTTAATTTACATAAATAGATTTTCATTATCAGTGGACCTATTTGAGGCCATTCCTTAAAATGCAGACCTGTCTGTCTTCTATGAAGCATCAGTAATGAACTACATCTACCAGCCTTGGCTACAAAAAAAACCATGAACATCAGAAAAAAAAAATAAGCAGAAAACAACATCTAATGTGTTACATACACTATATATTAATTATATATTATATAATGTATATTCATTGTATGTTGAATATTCATTACATACTATGTGTTATATATTGTGTGTTATATATTATATATATTACCAATACTTATTCTTAGTTATGTTTTTCCTAAATCATCATTGTAGTGTTTTTTTTTAATTATATACAGAGGTCACATTGAAGACAAACATACAGATCTTTAATTAAACATAATTAATTCTTTCAGCTTCTTGGAAAGAGTCCCACTGTCTCAGGGAGATTATGTCTCACTTTATACATTGAAATGGTACTCTCCTCTCTGTAAAACAACTCTTCTGTGATCAGGTAAGTAACCTAAGCTGTCACCACAGTTCCATTTAAATTGAAGTATTTCACCAGTCCATCATGGCAGCATACACCTGTAATCACGGTACTCAGGAGGTTGAGCTGGAAGAATTTCAGGTTCAAGGCCATCCTGGACTACATAACAAGAACCTTTCTGAGAAAAATACATAAATAATTTTCTTTTCAATGTAAAGCTTTTTTTTTTTGTCCTGAAAAAGTAACATTCTCTCTCAAATAAGAACAATGTTGGGACTGGGATAGTTCAATGGGTAGCATGTTTGCCTACAATGCATGAAGTCCTTGGTGAAAACTCTGCACCATCAAAAACCAGGTGTGGGTGCATGCCTCTAGTCCCAGCACTCAGGAGGTGAGGCAAATGATCCAAATTTCAAGTCATCCTCAGTTACACAGCAAGTTTAAAGCCAGCCAGTGACACTTAAAACCTTATCTTAAAAAAAATAATAATTTAAGCAGGACACTATGTGACATATCTGTAATCCTAGCTCTCTCAGAGGCAGATGGAGACTGATCTCTATGAGTTTGAGACCAACCTAGTCTACAAAGTGAATACAGGACTTCCAAAGCTATACAGAGAAATCCTGTCTTGAAAAACAAAACAAAAAAAAATTATTTATTTATATTTTTTCCAGAGACCATCATGAAAGAATGGGAAGAAAGATTATAAAAGCCAGAGGTTGGGGCAGGGTCTGGACATAACATGACATCTGTACTCATGAACTCACAGAAACTATAGTTGCCAGTCCAAGATCTGGACAAAATCTAGCCAGTCCACAGTCAGGTTCTAGCATGGAATAAGAAAGTATTTGGGAAACCCCAATCATAGCTGAGAAAATATGGCACGTAAATTGGAGGGTGGGGGTGGACCTGAAAGGAGTTAAGGTGAGAAATTGGAGAGAATATGATCAAAATGCATTTTGTAAAATTATCAATTAGTTATATATTATATATTATTTATATAATATATAGCATAGTTTTATATCACCTCTGAGATATAAATCTTATTTTTCAGATCTTATAATTCAAGAGGAGAGCAAATCTTTGGGAGACTATTGTCAATGGTGGTTCTTTCCTTGGAAGCTCAGAGAGAGAGAGAGGATACAGTGCAATTGACACTGAGCAGGCCACAGGACTATGATACGCAAAGGTGAAAGAACAGCAGAGAAAATACACGGACACTCGGGTAAGCTGTGCATGAAAGTGATGTACTCATGTGAAGGATCTTGAAGATAAAGAAAATAATCAAAAATGAAAAGGACATTCGATATTCCTCTACAGAGAATTCTCTCTTTAGCTCTGTTCCCCATTTTTAAGTGGATTACTTGGTTTGCTGCTTTTCAGCTTCTTTAGTTTTTCATATATACTGGATATGAGTCCTCTGTCAGATAAAGGGTTGGTGAAGATTCTTTCCCAATCTGTAGGCAGTCGCTTTGTTTTGATGACGGTGTCCTTTGCTTTAGAGAAGCTTTTCAGTTTCATAAGGTCCCATTTATTGATTGTTGCTCTTAGTGCCTGGGCTGTTGGTGTTCTGTTCAGGAATTTTTCTCCTGTACCAATGAGTTCTAGCGTATTCCCCACTTTTTTTTCTAGCCGATTTAATGTGTCTGGTTTTATGTTGAGGTCTTTGATCCACTTGGACTTCAGTTTTGTGCAGGGTGATAAGTATGGATCTATTTTTATTTTTCTACATGTAGACATCCAGTTGGACCAGCACCATTTGTTGAAGATGCTATCTTTTTTCCATTGTATGCTTTTGGTGCCTTTGTCAAAGATCAGGTGTCCATAAGAGTGTGGGTTTATTTCTGGGTCCTCTGTTCAGTTCCATTGATCCACCATTCTGTTTCTATGCCAGTACCATGCAGTTTTTATAACTGTTGCTCTATAGTACAACTTAAGATCAGGGATGGAGATACCTCCAGAAGATCTTTTATTGTAGAGGATTGTTTTAGCAATTCTGGGTTTCTTGTTATTCCATATGAAGTTAGAATTTTTCTTTGCAGGCCTGTAAAGAATTGTGTTGGTAATTTGATGGGAATTGCATTGAATCTGTAGATTGCTTTTGGTAAGATGGCCATTTTTACTATGCTAATCCTGCCAAGCCATGAGCATGGGAGATCTTTCCATCTTCTGATATCTTCTTCTAATTCTTTCTTCAGAGACTTGAAATTTTTTTCATACAAGTCTTTGACTTCCTTGGAGAGACTCATACTCCATAGGACTATTCATGGAGATAACCTAGAACCCCTTCACAGATGTAGCCCATGGCAGTTCAGTGTCCAAGTAGGTTACATAGTAATGGGAAGAGGGACTGCCTCTGACATAATCTGATTGGCCTGATCTTTGATCACCTCCCCCTGAGGGGGAAGCAGCCTTACCAGGCCACAGTAGAGGACAATGCAGCCACTTTTGATGAGAACTGATAGACTAAGATCAGAAAGGAGTGAAGAACCTCCCCTATCAGTGGACTTGGGGAGTGGCATGCATGCAGAAAGGTGAGGGAGGGTGGGATGGTGAGGGGAGGAGGGAGGGACTTATGGGGGGATCCAAAATGAATAAAGTGTAATTAATAAAGTGTAATTAATAAAAAAAATTAAAAAAATGAAAAGGACAGTAAGTAAATAGTACATGTAATTTGTAAAAAAAAAAAATGTAATTCCTAAGTCTATTTGAAAAGCTTTTGAAACTATCAATTTCCAGTTGACACTATGACTAAGTGTAACAGGTGATTCCATATAGCTACAATCTTGGGAAACACAATCTTGCCTGTGAGTTCAGCAGGGGAATCACACATCATTTCTTGGGTCTATTGTGACTCACTACAGCTTCGAGACCACACTTGCACTGATCAGGTTCCTGGAGGAGCATGAGGAAGGGGATTTACACAAGTGAGTGTTCAGCAAGTTTCCAAATCCTACTCCGTGTTGAAAGAGGCATAAATCTATGCAGCAGTGAGTCATTTGAAATAATAGTGCATAATGGAAGTACTAGTTAATTACTGGATGGTGCTATCTGTCTGTTAAGATCCAGTACTCTTACAAGTCTCATGAGAAAGAAGCCAACCAGACCTAGAAAAATGTCTTATTAACCAATATTCAAATCCCTACACTTTTATGGGTAATATAATTCCTCATTGCTGGGATGCATCTGATGATTGTGAGAAAGGAAACCCATAGCCAGTCTGAAAAGTATGCCTTGATTTGATGAGCATCTATATGCTAATCACTCAGCTGGAGAGGTACTTCAGTTAATTAAGCAATAATTCCTTACTACACACAATGCCCTGCGTTTGATCTTCTGCACTAAAAATAAAATATAGATGTTGAATGGATGATAGCTAGGCAGGCAGGAAAACAGGAAGACAGATGATAGATAGATAGATAGATAGATAGATAGATAGATAGATAGATAATAACAAATATTGATATAAAGATAGATATTGGTGGTAGGTAGAAGATTCATAAATAGGAAGTTGATAGACTAATAAATGTATTATACACAGATAATATATAGATAGACAGATACATATATAATACAAATATATATTTTATACTGACAACTGCCAAATTGTGTCTCAGCTTTCAATCAGCTTCTTTCATTGTTTCTACTTAGGACTTCGAAGAAATGACTTCTACTTAACACTATCGGCAAACTCTTAATTTGTCTGAAATTCTGCTCAACCTCAACCTTCCTCATCAAGCAAACAGCACTCTCTACTTCCAGCTTCTCAAGCCAAAACTTCTGATTACTCTACTTTTTGAAGGTTGGGGAGGGGTGGTAGTGGTATATGTGTGGGTGTTGTTTGTGGGTGTATGTACCTGTACTGAAAGCTGTTTCTTTTATGTGTTTTGTTTGTTTGTTTGTTTGTTTGTTTGTTTTGGCCCCAAATGTGAGATGTAGAAATGTTTTTAGTTCATCCTCATTTGAAAATAAACTCAACACATGAACTTGGTCAGCGGAATACAGATGTGTGAAAGGGCACATGATGTTTTGCTGGAGGCTGTCTCATTCAAGGGGTGTAGTTTTTTTCTAGCTGGAAAAACAGCCTTGTATGGATTCTGAGGACAGATAAATAGAAGGCCCTGGACAGTGAGACAACACATTTGCATATGCTTTGTAAGATTCACATCCCTTTGCTGGCCTTCATTTTTCTACACTTCTCTTCTCAGAGCAACCCTTCTCAGAGTATGTTCCACAGAACTTCTCATGGCACTCCTGCTGAGTCCTGCCACTTTGGCTGCCCAATCAGCAGAGTCTTGCTGTCTCTGCTGACTCATGCTGCTGCTGTTGATCTACATTGCTGTTTGGTGTTTGCTATTTGATTGAACTGCTGGTATTCAGAAAACAGAGTTGAAATCCAAAAATGTCCATAACTCCTTTTTCTAGTAACCTTCTTCCTGAACTACCTCTGGTCAGAGGGTTGGAAGGGAGGTAGAAGCTTTCAAGAGCCCTAACTATCAGAGACAGTCCCT